TAAACAAAATCATACAATATACTTTTTTTGTGTGTCTGGCTTCTCTGTTCAGCATTGCGTTTGTAAATTCATCCATGTGGTTGCAGACGAAATAGTTTATTCATTCTTATTACCGAATAGGTCTTTTGAATAATTATTTCAGAATTTACTTATTTGTTCTCCTATTAATGGGTATTTCCAGTTTGAGATTCATACAATAATGCTTCTGTGGGCATCTATGTATATGTCTTTTGATGTATTTGTGTGTGCATTTCCTTTGGATATACACTCGGAAGTGGAATTCTTGAGTCACAGAGTACAGGTATGTTCAGGTTTGACAGATACTGGCAAAACAGTTATGCCAATTGACATTCCCACCAGCACTATAGGAGAAGTTAAGATGTTCCATATCCTCTCAAACACTTAGGGGTGTCAGTGTTTTTAAGTATACCATTCTGGTGAATGTAAATGCTATCTAATTTTGATCTTAATTTGCATGTGCCTGATGAATATTGTAAAGCACCTTTTCATATGGTTACTGTCTATTTGGGTATGGAATTCTATGTTTAAAGTTATTTTTAAAAAAGTTTTTAGGCATTTTGGGGTCATCTGCTCTTTTTTTTCATTGATTTGTAAAAGTTCTTTATATACACAGGATGCCAACAAAGTGTATACACATTTTAAGAAAGGAAAACTGTATTAAAATTGTAATACTCATTATATACTAATAACAAAAGATGAATACAAGTTACATTTGACTTCTGCAATTACAAGAGGTGCTCAAAGTGGATACTATCAGCATCCAGACAATTCTGATTACGGCGAACTACTGCTTGAGCAACATTGACCAAAGTGTCCACTTGTATACATTTTTTTTGGCACCTCCGGTATAATAGATAAGAGATAAAAGTCCTTTGTTAGATGTTCGCAATCTCTTCTCCTGCCCATTGACTTGTCTCTTAACACTTTTAATAATGTCTTGATAAACAGAAGTTCAATTTGTCAATCTCTCTTTTATGATTAGGGCTTTCTGTATCATGTTTAAGAAAACTTTCTCAAATCCAAGGTCATAAAAATATTCTCTTATATTACCTTTTAGAAGCTTTATTGTTTTGTCTTTCACAGTTAGATCAAAATCCATCTGGAACTAAATTTAATGTACAGTTTTAAGAATCTAATGTACATTTGACCCAGTAACATTTATTGAGAGTATCATCATTTCCTCTTTACATTGCAGTTTCACCAATGTCATAAGTATAGTGACCATATATGTGTGGCCTGTTTCTGACTGTCTTGTATTCCAATGGCGTATTTGTCTATGTCTGAGACAACATCATACTTTGTTAGTTACTGTAACTTTATAATACATCTTGATAGCTGTGGCACAAATCTTCCAGTTTTGTTCTTTATGATTGCTTTGACTAGCTTTAGCTCTGCATTTCTACTAATTTTTAGAAACAGCTTGTTCAAACACACACACACACACACACACACACACACACACATGCACAAACACACATCTACTGGGATTTTTATTGGGGCTGCATTGACTCTTCCGATTAATTTGGGTAGAACTGGTATTTTTATAATATTGACTCTTAAAACCATCACCATTGCAGACCCTTCCATTATTTTAAACCATTTATAAATTTCCTCACTAGTGTTTTGTAGTTTTTCTATGTAGTATTATTGCACATTTAAAAATATTTACTCCTACATATTTGATGTTTTTATAATCTTTTTTATATTTTATTTTCTAAGTATTTGTTACTAGCATCTAGACATACAACTGATTTTTGCATATCGACCTTGTATCCATCAGCCTCACTAAATCCACTTGTTAATTCTAATAGCTGTGTGAGCTTTTAGGATTATTTCTTTGTTTTGGGTGTTCTCAAATTCACATAGATTTGTCTAGGTATGGATTTTTTTCTCATTATTTTCGCTTAATCTCTTCGTTCGATAGTTTAAAATACTCTTCCTATAAATCAGTGGCTCACACGCTTGATAATCACAGATGCTTATATGGAAACTTCCCCTTGCTCCTTCCTCCTAACGCAGCTGTCAGTGCCTCTCCCCAGACAGTTACCTGGGGTTTTGGCCGTCACCTGTAATATTTAACATTGCTACTGCCCGCTTTTGTAGTAAATATTGCATCCCTGTCATTAGCAATTCTATCAACCTTGTTTGAGGATTCCTAATAAGATACCTTAGACTTCAGTCCTTGGTAATGAATACTTAATTTTTTAAAAATAAGGTATTTGTGCATATTTGTAGAAATTAAGTGAATAAAATCAATGTACTGTATATAATGAAATGGATATTTTTCAGCAAGTTTGCTTGTTTTTACTGAACCCTGGCATTTAAATTTACTAACCTCTGCTGCTTTATACCTAAATTGGGGTGTTAATAACCTCTATCGCATAATGCTTGAGAATTAAATGAACACAGTGTTTACTATCGTGAGCTCTTATGACTAGTTCTCAAAGTTAGGCAAATAATTAGTTAATTAAGAAATATTAAAGGGAAGGTATCATTTCTTCTAGCCTAGGTAATTGTCACAATAATACAGAGTTATTTCCCACAAACACAAATTTGGAAAGGTTTAATTAATAAATTCAAGTTACTTAGATGCCATTTGGCACTCAGAACCAACAGTTTCCTAAGTGCCGCTCAAGTCACTTAGATGTTTCAATGCTACTTCAAATAAGCACTGCTTTTGTAGCAGGATAATTTGCTCAGTATACATTTAACAAGTGACAAAGTGACATTATCTAATTATTCCCCATATCTTTTGGCTTCGTGACCAGCATAGCTTCTATTTACAGTGAACAGCAGGGAATAATTTATCCCTTAACAATTTCTGATTCAAGACCACTCACAACAGAGTAGGTGGATCATTAGAGAATAAGCTCAATTATCTAACAGATCCTCCTAATGTCAAATTAGTAGGCTAAGCCTTGAGCATTTCCCAAGATTTCCATCAGGAGTAGAAGACACATGGGCAAATATTAAATAAGTACAGACTGTGTTTAGTTGAAAAGTGCTTGTCATTTCTCCAGGCTGAAAGATGGGCCATCAAGGAAAGCAGCAATTACATAAGTCATAATACAGGACATAAAACAGCCACCACAGGGTCTGGCACATGGCACTGCTGCAGAAAATGAGAATTCCTGTTCTCTGTTCCCAAGGCTGTTACTGCTTCGGTCAGCCAAGAGCGTGTTACAGTGGCTGCCATCCCAGCACGCTACTTCAGCAGCTCCGCCACAGGCACTGCCTTTCCAAGAAATTCTCCCAGTCCCTGGCCCGCGTTCCTCACTGCTTCTGAACTTCCTCACTGAGTTGGCACTTAGCATTTACTGCCTGGTCTTGTTAAAGCTCTTTTCGCATATTTCAGCTTCTCTCTTCCAAACTGGATCATAAGCTCCTTGAGGGGAGGTTCAGCTTTATGCTTTTTTTATTTCGCCACAGGCTAGGTGATTCATTGCCTAAAGCCTAACATACTCACCTCACATCTCCCGTGCAAGGAAACTGGTAGGAACCAACCCCTATGACAAGGTTCAAAACTCTAAGTGGTATTTGGGATTCATGCCATTAAAGGAATATCATAAATGAACAGGCTTTGGGGGCACTACTGTGGGGCAGCAAACGCTAATAAGACTCTGGTCTAAAAAGAAAGCTTGCTTGATCCAGGCAGACATACACAGCTCCTACTACGCCATGATGGCAGTCTCATAATTCAGTAAGTTTCCATTTATGTATTTAAAGACAGAAGTAAGTATTTATGCGGGTTCATACCTTGCCTCTTCTACTTACAGGTTATAAAGCGTTGGGAAAATTATTTTATTTCTCCAAGTTTTAGATGTCATCTGAAAAATGTGGATAATAGTCTCAATCCTGTATCAGTTAGGAAGTTCAGAAAAGAGAATTATACTAAATATTTCAACCTATGGAATTTACTTTAGAGAGTTGGTTTCCCTGGCGTTAAAGGGTTGTATGAGCAAAAAGAGAGCACAGAGGTAACATGGCTGTAATAAATGCTGGTAGGAGTGTCTGACCTTGGAGCTGGGTATATAGAGGGAAGTGGTGGGGTTATCAGAAGACAGAAGCCCAGAGAAAGAGCTGAGAGGAGCCACTAGGAGCCAGGGCTCTAACCTTGGATATGAGGGCTGCAGGGATCTCTGAGAAGGCCCAGTGACACCGGGGGTGCCTGAACAGATGGAAAGCTGGAACCACTTCCTGCCGTTTGAGGTGGCCTGCCACTGAAGATAACACTATGCATCAGAGTCAGGCAGCAACTTCTCCCTCCCTCTTGCTTTTCAATCTCCCTCTGGCTCCCCTATTGGCAGAAGTAACTGAAGTCGGAGGCAAAGAAGAATGTTTGCAGAGTCCAAACCCCAGCATACAAAGCAGAGTACAGAAGGTACTTTTGGAGCTCAGAGGCAATAGTATAATAACTTGTCCATTTGATAAATGAGACAACAGGAGTGCTGAACCCTTAGATTTGCCCTAAGAATTAGAGTATTGTTATTGAAGCATTGAGCACAGAGACTAGAGTATAAAAACAATTCATAAATGTTAACTGTTTATTAATATTGTATTAGTGCTTTCATGTTTGTTTTTATTTTTAACTAAGTGATCAAACATCCTTAACTTACTATATTCATATTAATAAAATTTGACTAGGCTGACCTGTTTGGGACTATAAAATGTAGTGTCAGACATATATCCACAATTCAGACTCATGTAATTCACTAACATTAGGGGTAGACAGCCTACCCTTTCAACATCAACCATCAGGTAAATGGATACTTCTTCACCTGTCCTGAAAATGGAATCCTTCAGCATCACAGACATTCATCACTAATCTACATGTAACTTACAATGTTTGTCACAGATGTAAATAGAGCTTTTAGGCTCTTCCAATGTCAACCAATCTATCGCTATCGACCTTTAAGACAGAGCAACAGTTGGGCAGACACTCGTTCCTTCTGTTGGTATAAAAGGTGTATTTTCCTTACCACCAATCAGCATGGTGCAGATGGAAAAGATCTTCTCTGCGTCCGTATTGGCAGAGACATTCCCAAACCCAACGCTGGTGAGGCTGCTGAGGGTGAAGTACAGCGCTGCAATGTAGGCACTTCGGATCGACGGGCCCCCCAGGGTATTGTTGCCATAGTATGGCGACTCCAGTCTCTTCCCCAACTCATGGAGCCAACCTGCGATGGAAGGAAGAAGGAGAATTTCAGCCCCCAACGTCAAGTCCCAGTGTTGGCATGTGGGGGTAATAATAAATGAACGTTTAAGGGATGTACACATTTGCTCGGAAGAAAGAAGGAAGTTAAAGGCAAGGAATGAGATTCCAAAATATCACTTTTATGCAACTGTTATATATAGTATACACAGCCAAGAAATATGCATTCAAGAGTGAATTGGCGGGCAAAGCTCAACAAACAGGTGACTTTCATGCAAGAAAGTACCAGTGGAGATGGACATTAGCGTTGCTACTCTCAGGAACTGTGTTGTATATTTCGCTAGTGGTAAAGCTTATTTCTCAATTGGAATTTTAGGAAACAAAGGGATCAAGTACATATTTTTAAACCTTACATGATGATAAATAGCAACAACCATAAGAACCTAGACTTCAGACAGGTGAGATGGGCTTGATTTCTATCCTGTAGAACCTTTTTCCATTCTGTTCACCTGGATGATATCTAGTTGTCTCACAGGTCTTAGCTCATGTTACCTTCCTAAGGAAGACTTCTTGAACCTATTTTGACATTTGCGGGTAGAGAGGGAAAATTGCACATCGAAGAGGTACCTGTGATAGAAATAGATGCCTCCCCCCCTTACAACTATTTTATGACACTGATGTATATAGGTGTCAAAACTTGTCAAGTTAAATGATTTAAATGTGTGCAGCTTATTGCACATCAATTATATTGTCATAAATCTATAAAAAAGCTATATTAATAAAGATGGAAAATAGTAAGTATAATAGTAATAGTAATAGAATGGAAACACAGCACAAATACCACTTTAAAAACCTTAATTGGAAACCTTTGTCTTTCAAGATTTTCTATTTTAAAGTACTCTCACTCTTTCCTTCTCTGTGTGTGTGTCTTACAAAACATTGACAATTCAACTCAACCTATCAGGTTCACAAGACTTTTGTTAAGACACGTTATTCACTGACCACTACTTTCTTATAAACACTTCATTTAATAGCTGCCCAAGAAGAGATGAAAAGTCATTTCATTTCTTAAGGAATAATAATGCTGTCATTACTAACTAAAGTTATAGATTCTAGAACTGTGCTAGGTAATTAAAATGCAAATTTGAAACAAGTGGGAGTTCCTCAAGACCAAGGAGAAATGCTTAGTGGCAAGTACTGTGTCTTATTCGTGTTGTGCCCCTAGAGAAGTGTTTCTCAATGTTTAGTTTAGCTTGCCTCCGAAACGTCTGGAGGACTTGTTAAACGGAACAGGCCAGGTCCCATCCCTGGAGTTCCTGGTCCAGTGCACAGGGAGGCTGGGAGAAGGGCTGAGAAATTGCCTTTGGAATAGTTTCCCACGTGATGCTGATGCTGTACATCTAGAAGATGCCACTTTGAAAGGCCACTGCTCTAGAGCAATGGTTCTCAATGCTGATTGTAGCTAGAAAAGCTTTTTAAAAATACACTGTTCAAGTGCCATCTCCATGAACTGAATCAAAATTTCCAGTGCCAAGCCCAGCTATGGGTATTTTTAAAAAAAGTTTCACAGCAGAATCTAATGTGAAGATAGAATTTAGAACCACTATTCCAAAACTTAGCAAAGCACCTGACAATAGCAGAGTTTAATAAATGTTACTTTAAAAAGTGAATGAATTAATGAATGCATAAACGTTTTTGCCCTCTGTGATAGTATGACATAATAATAGGACAACATTGATGCAATGTAGCAACACATGCATTTGTAAATTTCTACTAGATTCATGTACAATAATTATGAAATGTAAGTTACATGTTATGAAAGGTGATGCTGTGATACTAGCTATGACCATCTATGTTGCCTGTAAATGTCTCGTGAAGGAATAAATGCTAAATTCTAACATATTTAAATCTGAACACTTACATTTATAGGTTGTAGGAATGACTAACTTCTTTTAGCTTCATTTTTCTCATTTGTAAGAACAGGGTTACTGTTTAATTTGTAGGATTGAAGAGGGATTAAATGAGATGCCACAGGAAGAAAATGCCAACCACTGTTACTGGCAGAGGTTTAGTGAATAATATCTCTTTCCTCTTTCTTTTGTTACTTAAATTGGAACAGAGAAAGCACAAAATTCAGAAAGGTAAGAGAAAATGTGAGACCAGCAGTGAATTATAATGGAAAAAAAGAGGTAGTGACTAAATGTATTTGGTAGAATGTATGGGTAGCATGTGATACAATTTAGCCTTTCTTAACTAACAGAAATGAAAGGGAGAAAACCCAAGTGACAGTAGTTATCAAAATTTGGGGAGTTATAC